AATCAGCAGAAATAGCTAGTGTTTATTTTTAAAAAAGCCAAAGATTAAAATGTAATTGAAAATATGTAAACAAAGCTAAAGACTTAGAATAAATAAAACGATTAATAAAAGTTAGCAAACGAGGAGCAAACAACTGTGGTCCATAAAACATAGCCACAAGGCTAAAGTCTGTATGAGAATATAAAGTGATTTAAGAATTAAAGAGTTAGCCAGAACATCCCAATAGGTAGTTCAGAAATAGCTGAGAAAATACACTGCCAAGATTTAAGTAATCAGGTAACTTTAATAAATATGAACCAATGATAAACACTGGTCAATGTGGTTTCCTACACTGCTAAAGTGTCATACAATATTTACACAAGCAAAAACAGACAAACAAACAAACTTAGCCTCAGAGTTATAACTACAACACAGCTATTTATTAACTTTAAAACAAGAAACTGTGTGAAATATGTTAATGTTAGCTAATTGTAATACTCAATTATCAATTTTTTCCCACTACTCAGCTGCAAATACAGTTACATTTGTAGTGTATTAGTGTCTAAAACAGAAGTATCGTGTACTAGCGATGCAAACTTTGTCTAATCCCCGCCTAAAACAACAAGAACACAGATCCAAGTGAGGCTGCGATTTGTTTTTCTACAAACTGAGCTGTTGTGATTGAATCACTGGCACAGGACAGGAACGTCTTTCTGTAGAAGAAAAATAGATTCCCTGTGTGAGCCGCGCAGCACCGGAACAAACACTCAAACATTGAGGTCAGTCCCCGAGCAGGGAAAGTCAGGTTCATGGGCCCGGGGCCTCAGCTACATGACATGTAGGAAACAGGGCGGAGAAAAAATACAAACACACGTAATATTCATGTGGGACGCTGTGTATGTGCTGCCAAGTCAAAGCTGCAGCAGCGCAGGGCGGGGATTTTAAAATCTCACTTCCTGACGGTAGGAGAGCGCCAAGGAAAAGCTGCCCGAGGTACAAAACCTCTCACGTTCTCTGCCACCACGGCAGGAATCATCCATTCATTCATTCTGGAGTCACGTTCTCTACCAAAGACCAAGGAAATGTTCACGTCCACAAAGCAAACAGAGAAGACAACTCTGACTCCCAGCATCAGGGTCCTGACCCCTGACGGCTCCTTCAGACCAGAGCTGCTCCACTGCACATTCCAGTTGGAGATCCAAGATGGAGGGAGAGAGAGGAGGCAGATACAGTGGCTGGTTTGTGAAATCTGCCTCAACGCTCTGTAACCTGAGAACTTCACCTTGAGTCACAACACTGAGGCACAGAGCGGCCGCCAGTGGAAGCTGTGTAATGTACGCAGTAGGAAAACATAACAAGTTTTTACCTAAAAGGCGGGGAGTCAGGGCAGGGTACAAAACTTACCTCCAAAAAATATATATTATTATTATTATATATATTTTATTTTTCACTGTTGTGGGATTAAAAAATATAAATATGCTTTTATCTTATTTAATTATTTAATTTATTTATACATTTTATTTAATAAAAAATAAATATAGTAAATAAATAATTAACTTGTACAACTTAGAAAATACCCAATATGAATATAAAAATACCTGAAGGGTGACTAACGGCACAAAGTCACCCTTAGTTTAGCAGCACTAGATAGATATTTAGCAGCAATAGCTAAATGTATATCAAATTTGTTTAAGGTTAAATCCTAGAGTTAATTGTTATAAGTTATCCACAATGTCTAAAGTTTTAGCTCTAATAAGGACACTGTGCTGGCATTTTTGCTGCAGAAATATTGTTTTATTGTTATTTATATTAATTCATATTTAACTTATTTCCTATTAATATTTTAAATTAAGCAAATAATTAAGACTAACCAGTCACTATTAATATTTTAGAATTATTGTTGTATCTAAACAACAGTTTAAACCATGTCCATAATTTAAAAAAACGCCGTCTATCAACTGACAAAATAACAATATGTATAAAAAAGCCAAAAATCTTCTGTTCACACAGAAGACGTTAGCGACAGCAAACACAACACAGGGTCACATTACCATCTTCTTTTCAGCAGGTTGTTATTCCTCTTCTTCACAACAACGCTCGTCTCTGATTTATTCCAGAAAGAGTGACAGTCAGACACAGAGCTGCTGCTGCTGCTGCTGCTGCTGCTGCTGCTGCTGCTGCTGCTGCTGCTGCTGCTGCTGCTGCTGCTCTGTGGGTCCTGGACCAGACAGAAATCCATTCTGGACAGGCACTCCTTCACAGCTGGGTCAGTGTGGACCAGTCTAAGATTTCTGCATGGACATTTGTCCAAAGTCTTCAGCTGAGCTTCACTTAGTGTGAGGTTTGACTGGTTTCCTCCTCCTCCTCCTCTTCCTCCTCCTCCTCCTCCTCTCTGTCTACTTCCTCTGCTGCTTCTGAGCCTTTCTGTGTTCGCTCCTCACTTTCCCTCTCAGTGCTCGGCGCTATGTTTGTCTGAGACGGGCAGTGTGACCTCACATTAGAGAGATGAGGGCGAGGAAAAAGTCTGCATCGCCTTACACTGTACACACGCCAGTCAAAAAGTTCCAGGAAAGATGCAGATTTCAAATTGTCCAATTTTAATACGACTACTACCAATACTACTACTGCTGCTAATAAAAACATTTAAAGGACCTCAATTTATTTTATATTTATGTTGTTTTTTTCTCTTTTAAACCTTTCTTAATTTTCAACAAGCAGGTTATAACTGGGTGAGAAAGACATCGTCCAGAGTTTGACAGAGGACATGTCCCCTAAATTGTTGAGAAATATATTTGTTATTTTTATAAACACTTTTATTCCCAATTTCTTGGAGAGGTTCTGACATTTCTGTGCTCAGAGGTGAGTCGCTGCTGTAACATATATTTGTGAACCTGAAATATCCATTTTAAGCCTCACTATTCAGTACAAATATAAGAAGCTGAAACCAAATCATTGGACTACGTAGTTCTTCATTATCTGTGGGACTCAATAATTCTACAGTGATCCATGGCAAATGTAATATCTTTGCCCAAAATTTATTTTTCGACCTCAAACGTGTGATTTTTTAATCTGCCATGAAGTCCCAGCAGCACGGAGACAACCCCGTCGCTGTGACAGAGACAGTCCAACATCAACCTCTGCTGCTGTCGTCCGTCACCACGCGGTGACGAGAGCCAACTCCAAAAGAGAGCATGACAATGTCAACACTTGAACAGTAGGAGAACAAAAAAATATTTACTTTGAAGATGATTTACGAGTCTGTCCAAACACAACGGTGTTTTCATTTTACTCTAAACAGCACACACACACTACACACACACACACACACAAGAAAGAGACACCGCTGAGGACAAGTTTGGAGATTTCTCTGGTGACTGGATATGAAACACAAGGAGAGTCAGTGACAGTGAAGGAGAAGTGAAGACATGACGAGGAAGAGAAGGAAAGAACCGATGTGTGATGGATGAAACATCAGACGTGTGGCAGCTGAAGAAGCTCACGTCTCTTCAGGTTTGACCTGGACATGTCAAAGTGGAGACAAAGGGGGACAGAGAGAGGAGACGGACCGACACCAACTCTGATGATGATTGGCAGTGAATTCCTCTGCAGCTTTTCAGCATTCAGCTCACGTTAATAAAACTGATCAGTTATTACACAGGGGTCAAATTCAGGGCCGTGGGCCATATCTGGGCCCTGGTGTAATTCTATTTGGCCGCAAAATACTCCCTCAAATCTCAAAATACTAGAGATAGGGAGGCATAATAAGAAACAAATACTACTGATGTGTGTCTTGTTTTAAATTTAATTTCTCATGTGCAATATTTAGCTTTGGATGTTCCAGATTTTTGTTTGTTCCCAGATAAAAAAAAATCTACATTAAAACATGCTCCGTGACTTCATCCCAGTTTTTCATTTTGGCCCACTTGACACCCCTGAGTTAATAGGTCAACAGTCCTCACAACTGTTGGGACGCGGCCTCAGACCAGGTGGTCTGTTCTATAAAAGGACGGAGCTCTGAATGTTACAGTTCAGGACAGTCTCTCATCAGGACGCCTTTTCTTTTCAATGGAAACTAAATGTAGAGTGAGTTAAACGTAGCTTTGTTCCAGCTAAGTCAACTTTAATGTCTCATTCATATGTCATCCATCCATCAGAACGGCAGTAAAAGCATCAGGTTTTGCCACAGCAGTTTTGTTCACAGGTCCGTCAGCGTTTTTACAGACTGGACCACGGAGTAGCTGCTGATCCACATCAGTGATGGGAACAAACACACGGCCAGGCGTGGACTTCTATTTTTATCTCCAACATCCTCAGAACTTCAAGCATGCATCTTCCCCAGCTCCAGCTTAGGCAGCTAACACCTCATTAGCATTCTGTGAAGCCGTTAACATAGCAGCAGATGCATGTCTTCCAGTGTGTGAGTGAGGATGGAGTGAGGAGTCAACTGGAGATCCTCAGAACTGACACTTTCATACGGAATCCACAAAAAAAGTTATGATTTATTTATATATCACTATATATATATATATATATACAGTATATATATCATTTGACATGTGTATGAGCCACTAAACAGGATAACTGATGAACATGTAGAGGACCCGTCCCATATATTGACCCACTTTGGATATTGACACTGGTGATTCCTGTAGCCTGAAAATCACACAGACAACAGTTGCGTAAATTACTGCTTGCAATTTATTCTCCACACTGAGAGTAAAGGTAGAAAACTGTGAAAAGATCGTCTCATTTTAACACGATGGACCCACAGAGACAAATCAAGCCCAGGAGATGACGTGTCTTTTTTTGGCCCGGCCACTGACAGGGTGACCCGTGACAGTCTCTGCTGTGAGGTGACCCTGCCCACCATACATCACCAGGAGCAGCGTGGGTCACTCAAGAGTGAACGGTCAGGGTGACTGGATGTTTCAACGTGTTACTGTCAAAGTAGGAAATGTGTGTGTGTGTGTGTGTGTGTCAAGGGGGGGGGGGGGGGGGGGGGGGGGGCGCCCACAAACAAAAAACAAAAAACATGAGTCGTGTCTAATGACCATCACGTTTCATCACGAGAGTTGACTTTGATTTACTGATAGAATCAAACTCACTGGATGCTGAAACTGCATCGTTTCATTCAGCAAGATGTGTGAACAAGTGACGACTAGAATCAGGGGGCAACTATATTTACCACTATGAAATAAAAAGGTCTGTGACTTTGTTTTATTGTATAAAGTAATAAAAATCTATCCCTACTGCTGCTGCTGCTGCTGCTGCTGCTGCTGCTGCTGCTGCTGCTGCTGAGGTCGGCCTCAGGCAGGACCTGACCCTGCTTCTTAATAATATGACTCTGTGACTCATGATCAACACTGACCTTATAGGTCAAAGTCACTGAGGACCTACAGAACACAACGCAGCCGTTTCCTGTGTGAGTTTCTTGTTCTGTAAAGACTTTTATTTTTATATTTTTTAGACTTCAGTAATGACCTACATCTCACCAACACTACATTCTGAAAGATGTTGTTTTGAAAACTTGTCAAAGTATTTCATATGTAAAAGATAATAAGAACTGTGTTGTTTCTGATTCACCTAAATGTGGATTCAGTTGAAGACCAGGTTGGTGGTCCTGATGTCTGTGAACAGTGACCGGGAAAAGTCACTTTTACGACACCTCCTGTTGTCGGACGCCATCTGTTACTGTCGCCAACTGGGTCAGAGAGATTTCTCTAAATGGAACTCAGTAAATGTGTAGTTGAAGGTTTCTCTGTCAGATGGACAAACATCCATTCAGATCATGTGGTATAAAGGTGCACAGTAGAAACCAGCTCCCAGCTCCTTGTCCTGAAGCAGGAACCATGGAGTATTTAATCAACCAACTCCTCTGCATACTCGTCTACTATGGATGGAGGCCAGAATACTCACAGAAACTTAAACACAACCGGAGAGCAAACTACTACACAGACACACACTCTGTCATGTAGCCTCCTGCCCCCCCCCCCCCCCCCCCCCCCGTTCTTTTACTTACAAAGAAATACGAGTTATTGTGCTTTACAGAAAAGTGCTAATATACGACTAATTAAGTCAGTTGTTAATAAACAACAGCTTATGGTTTGATGGATCTTATCTCTACATCACAACAAGTCTTCAGTCTAATTACATGACATTAAGGTGAAGTATTGGTCAGCCCAGTGGGGGGGGGGGGGTCTTTAGTTTGCATGCTAACAGCAAAATAACAAACCATCACAGTTGCCTTGTTTTAATTGAAAAAGAGTAAAGTTAAGGTTAAACTGTGGTCAGAGCTCCCTCTGTTGGATGACGTGGTAACTACTTTAGATTTTGATTTGTTTTCCAGCATATTTGGTAATCACAGAAACTGTTAGCTTTGGCTAATAAAAGCTAAAAAGGTGCCGTATGACGTCAGTCAGTTTGAGTCCTAACAATGCCCCCCCCCCCCCCCCCCCCCCCCCCAGCCCCGGAGACAGGTGATGCTGAGCCAACACAGACCACTGACCGAGGGGACGGCAGAGCGGTCAGTGTGTGACTTCACCTGGACTCACAGTGGACAGGCAGTCCTCCCAGCAGCTGCTTAAACAACACACACTCTCAGGCTAAACCTCCGGCCTTTTTATTTATAACTTCACTCCTAACGGCAGAGAGGAAGTCCCAGAGAAGAGAAGACGCTGCCACACAGACGGACAGATGGACGGACAGTAACAGCTGGGAAGACGCCCGCTTCAGATCACACAGGATGAACACGTGAATCACGGACAGAGTAGTTAAAAGCCGACGAGGTGTGGGTCAAAAAAGGAAACTGACTAACGGCCGAGTTTATGTTCCACTCTTCACCATTTATTTCATTGCAGCTGCAATTGTTCTTCTTTAAATATTCAGTAGTTACTAAGTTACAAAATGAACATGGCCGTTCTCCTCTGAGGAGCACAGCTTACTCCTACTGTATATGTATTATTATCAGTCAGAGGTCATTGAACGTCTAACTCTGCCCTCGATTTGATGTTTTCAAGACCTGAGTGGAAAATGTCCATTCCTCTCATGCCACACGAGGCGTCTCATGCCACACAGTGTTTGCTTTTCACATGCCAGACAAACAAAGCTGTGGTTTGTGGTATGTTAGTTAGTTAAACACATTTATCATCAAAATATGGAAACAGGATCATCAAAAGGATTGTTAAAAGTATAGATATGAAGCAAAAAAAATGTAATTCTCAATACGTCAACGAACTAATGAGATTTAACAACATCTAATAAAATAAATAAAGACAAATAAAGCCTGGGGAACACAAATATTATTTTTGCAAAATATCTTTGAAAGACCCAGATTTTCTGCAGGATGTGAGCTGCTGGTCTGAACTTTGCCTCATCTCTGTGTAACAACAAACACCACGAACCACAACAACACAACTGCAACACTTGGAGATGTGGACAACACGTGGTCACACTGTGTCCGATCATCACATTAATTTAACTCCAACACCAACGTCGCGTCCTAAACTGACCAATCAGATGCTTAAAAAAAACACATGTTTGTTTTCTTACCGTTGTTCCGTGGAGACTCAGACTGAGGAGTTCCAGCTGAAGCCGCTGCTGCAGCGCGGCCACACGGAGACGCTGAGTGTCCACCTGGAGGAGCGGAGTCAGAGGTTGACCCCCGTCCACAGTGAGGGTCAGAGCAGAGCTGGAGACACACAGTCTGATCCACGGCGTGGCTGGAGCGCGCAGCGGGAACGCGCGTGATTTTAGCTGATTGGACCGTGAGTGAGTGACCGTCAGGAAATCCGAACCAAACGATCCACTGGGGGCGTGTTTTTCGTCTTCGTTCATGGGATGAAACAGAAAATCCTTTCCTTCATTGATTCATTCATTCATTCATTCATCAAATTAAGTATTTTTTTATTCCTACTATTTTATATTTGTTTTTTAGGTTTTACTTAAAGATTTATTCCAATGTAATTTACTGAGTGGTCTATTGAACCAATGTCTATTCAAAATATGTCATTTATTATTATTATTTATTAGTATCAGTAATTAGATTATACATATATCACTTAAATATGTCTTTGGAGTCTGAGTTTTTAAACAGGTCTTCAACAGGTGGCTGGCAACCCCCAGGGGGTCAGCGGCCGTGCTGTAGGTAGCTGCAATATTTTGTTAATTCAGCATTCTAAAATATATTGTCATTACATTCAAATATAATCAGGACTCCACATGTTGATAATATATTGTAGTGTTATCAATGTGTCTGTCTGTTTATTTGTGTGCATCAAACTGATGCTGTTAGCCGTTAGCTGTGCAGTGATTCTGACTCAACGTTAAGATTCCATTTATGAAGAGTTCTCTGAAAAATCCGATGTCATAGTTTGATACAGACTTTTGAACAAATCAATTTACAATTGTTTATAATTTCTCCATTTTTAAAGACGTCAGAGGAAAAACGTCCTTTAATTTTGAGATGACACTGAGACTCCAGAAAATAAAACTCCTGATCTCTCTGAGTGTCATTGTAAGGAACTGAAGCCTCACACACACTGATGACAGTGTGAAGATTCCCCAAATCCCAACGCTGTTTACATCACTGCTTCCTTTCTCGTGGGAACCAAGAAGAGTGGCTTATTTTATCTGATGCAACATGTCACAGAGGAAGTCTATTCTTTGTTTGTTTATTCTTTGTTTGTTTATTCCTTCTTTCTAATCAGTTTTGACTTTAATTTTCTGATGTAGATGGAAAAGAACTGACAAAAAAAATCATAAACACAAGGGATGTTTTATCTGGTTGTTAACTTTGAAGGTTTGACAAAACATTAAAAGAGAGAATCATTTGACCATGGGGATTGTGTACACATGTCATGACCCAGTAACAGAATTTATTATGAATATTATTATGAATTTATTTAGAATTGATTAAGCCCCAAAGGGTTCAGCACATTGAGGTCATTGAGGAGGTCAAATACATTTGTTCGATTCAAAATCAATCATTTATGTGAACATTTTTTTATGAAACTTTATCTAT